GGATCCAAAACATTGAATTTATATACATATTTCAGATGTTTAAATACTTAATTAACTTAAATAAATCTCTTTTATGAATATAAATATTGAGTAACATTTTATATAAAAATTAATCTTTTATTTTAATAAAAACAGTTTAGATAAATATTTTAGTAAGATTATTGTAAGTGTTACTTTTATATTTTACTCCTTATTTAAGAGATCAGTTTTTTAAAAAATTTTTAAAGGGGTCTAAAAAATGATAACAAAGGATAAAGAAGTAAAAATAGAATTAACCGATTTAAATATTTATAAAAACAAAAAAGCAGTTTTAAAAAACGGAAAGGGTGTTTTCTTACCAAGACAAACAAATTTAATTTTAGGTAAACCAACCACACCAATTAAATTGTTTACAAAATTATTAACTGGTAATAATAACATTACTTATGATGGAAACGTTCTATTTAACAAGTATACATTTCACAGTAACAGCTTAATAGATAATTCGATATACTTCAGTAAAAACAATCAAGATTATTTAGATCTTCAATTAATAATCTTAATAAGAATTTTTGATGAATTAACATTAAACAAAGAAGAGAATGATTATTTACAGTTGTTTGAAAAATATGATTTAAAAGCTCTTAAAAACGTTAATTATTCAGCATTAACAGACTATGATAAAATAAAATTTGAACTAGCCAAATGTGAATTATTAATGATTCCAATAATTTTTATAGAAATGTATGATTTTGACGAACTTGAGAAATTAATGGTGTATTTTGATAAATTAAAATTAACAAATACAAATGTAGTTATAATAAGTAACAATACAGGTTTAATTAACACAGTAGATAATTTAATTATAATTTGTGAAGGCTACGTAATTTATAACAATCCACCAACATTCCTAAAAGAATATTTTCCTAATTTAAATGATTATTCTTATTTATTGAGATATACAGAAGAGTCAAGTAAACAATTAAATAGTAATCTTATATCAAGGTTAATTGAACCTGATGTAAGAGTATTAAAGTTTAAGAAGTTTAGAGAAGTTGATAAAACATTTTTTAACATAATAAAAAACAACAGCCCATTTAAAACCAATATTATATTAGGTTTATTGTTTTTATTAACTATTTTTATTTTAAATTTAAGTACGAGTAATCCTTGTTCAATTGATTCATTTATATTATTAATAATTTTTTTACCGTTTGAAAGTGATATTAAGATTTGTAAAACCGTGTTTAAATATAATTTTATACAACAAGTATTTAATAGAAAAAAATTTTTACATGGATATTTAAATTTTTTTGTTTTTAAAGCAATTGCTTGTGAGTTGTTGTTTTTTACTTCCATTGGTTTGACTTATTTACTTAATAATTTTGAGATAAAAAAACTTCAGTTTAATTTAATATCTATTCTTATTGTATTAACTTATCTTTTAAAGGATATGCTAAACCTGA